GATAATTTCATTAAAAAAACATGAAAATACCTAAACATAAAACGAGCAACGAAACTTTAATACCTGAAATCAGCTGATAAAGGGTCAATAAACGCGCGACGCCGAACGCCGGCACGCAGCCGACGATTGTACCAGTACCTAATAATTTACAACACTTGTCTAAATACCTAATTTATCTACTTAGCCTACTGTTTTGCACTGTGCTAGTCTCCACCTAGCCACTTTATTTCAAATTTACAGGTTAAATAAATCAAATGTCTGGTTCGATTCCCCACTAATAAAAATTTACTTAAATGAAATTTTAATAAGGATAGTCATGTTTATCCATCGTACACTTACACTACACGCTACTGTTTATTATTCTGATAAATTCAGTTACATACTATTCACATCAGTTCAGAACTGAATTATTAAAAAAATAGGTATTAAACAGCTTACCGATGTAAATCCTCCGTGACCTTATGAGATGCGGCTCAAATTGTGCCCCATTCATTTCGAGGCAGATTTGGGCTACGCGTTGCGTCTCCTCAAACAGCCGGGACATCATCGTTGGGTCTTCGACACAGTCTGCACATAGTTTATCGAAAATATCCACGATCCTTTTGGCGCATTTCGTCAGCACTATCACACCCAATATTAAAAACTCTTTCTTTTATATACCCCTATAGAAAGAAGTCTAGCCGGGTGAGATCTGGTGAGGCAAGGTGGCCAAGCGTGTGGTTCTAGTCTCCGATCCAACGATCATGAAATAGCCCAGTGAGGCGCTCACGGACGAACCTCACTATATGGGGAGGTTCACCATCATACTGGAACCATGTGCGGCGATATTCAGCCAACGATAGGTCATCCGAAATGTCAACCAACTGTTCATTTATAAAGTTTAGGTATCGCTGTCCATTAAGTCTTTGTGGTGGAAACACTGCTCCTAGTATGCGATCCTTAAATAAACCTGCCTGGTGGCGCTAATGGTTCCTGGGTTCAAATCTGCAACGGATGGTTACTAAATGGTTAGGGTGACTATGTTGTCCTTCGAGTCCAAAACAAAGGAACCAGAAAGTGGTTGAGCGATAAGGTCCCGGGTTCGATTCCCGATTGGGCCTTGACCTTATTATGCGAGATGTTACTATGTGAACTGTATGCGTGGTTCTCTATAGCCAATACAAGATGGCGGAAGTGGCACTTGGCTGGCTTTTGGACAATGCACCCGCTAGGATATAATCTCTACTATATTAGCTGGTAAATTTCGGAACGTGAGCTGTTGTAAGGAAGGAGTGGCAACGAATGAGAACAGCTCACGCTGGGAAGAAAGGAGAAGCACTTACTTGGGTGTTGGTCGTCTAGCGGCCTTAAGCTTAGGCCTGAGGTTGATGATGCTACGTTGAGATGGAATGATAGGGAAAGGATACCAGCTAACATAGTCTACACATATGCGTTTTGGCGCAACCATCCCTTCCGGTTTGAAGGGTCCCTTTTAAAATTAATTAACGCTAATACTAAATCTAATTTAAACTATGTACTAATCCAGCCTAGACTCATAAGTTCGGAATAATATTGGTTATGGCTTGTTGGTCGCGAAGCCTCACTTTTTTCCGCCAAGCAATATTGGCCTCAGTAGGTCTATCCCGTAGCCTCCAAGGCGGCATGCTTTCTGCTGCGGCAGTTCGGCGTCTCCATGCGCCACGAACACGTCCTCTATCCCCGCCGCGCTCGCTTCCACTAACGACATCGATTCGAGTCCCGGGTCACGAAACACGTGCACCGAATATGTCACCTGACGGGTCGTGGGGCGATCTAAATTTGTTAATTTGGGCCTTCTTCGCGGTGTCTATAAACCTGGCTCCATAGCTTTCCCTATTCGGCGTTCCCTTCGGCTGCGATAATACTACTACCGGTTTAGTACCTACTCTCGTACTTAATAGACTCCAACGTTCTAGTTTGCAACTCCTCGCAAAATCTATTATCTAAACTAAATATAGGCGGGACGTTCCCCTCCTCCTTTTCCCGAAAATTGCGAGTCAATAATTCGGGAGGTTCAACAGCGGCGGTGCAACAATAAGAGGTTGCCGAAACATTATGAACCGTAGGAACGAAATCAACGATAACGTAACCTAAAACGGTTTCTAATGCATAAGGTGCGTTACGCGAGGAGTTACCTCTAATCTTATTGTGTAACAAAAGGTGAGGGAAGACAGATGCCCCGATGAGCATATCAATGTCTTCAGGGGCGGAGTAAGTGTCATCCGCCAAAGTTAAATTTTCAAAATTGTTCATCGCTGAGGAGTCCACCGAAACGGTTGGCGGGCGCTCAGTGACCTTATTTACTACTAATGAGTTTATATTAAAATTAATACCACGATCTAGATGAGAATAAAATTATAAATTTGTCCAACTTTGGACCGTTTATTGAAACCTCCAATTCTCTTTACTACGGGGCACGAAGGCGTCCTATTCACTAACAATCCTAAACGTTGGCAGCACTGCTGTGTTACGAAATTACTCTGTGATGCACTATCTAATAACGTACGAACGTTCTGTTCGTTTCCATGCGAATCTGTAGTAGAAAGTGAGACAGTAGCACAGTGAAAGGTGCGCGGTCTGCCCTTCCCACGTTTGACAGTGAACACAGGGCGATGTCACCCGGTCGACCGTTAGAAGCGTCGACCTTAGCGGGTGGAGTCTCAATGTCAGATTTGTTCAACGCGGATATGGTACCACTCCCAAAATGCAACAATGTATGTTGTCTGTTGTGGCATTTGTTACATCTGCACTAGAGTTAAAATTAGCGACGCGATGCCTATTGCATAAACAATTCAAACACAAGTTGTTGGCCTTTGCTGTTTTATAACGTTCGCTCGGTGAACGCTTACGGAAAGTCGCTCAATTATACAAATTAGCTTGTTGGTTATTTTTACACAAAAAACATGTATTATGAGGCAATGAAGGTCAGAGACCTAGCTGTCTTCGATGACGAGACCGATCGATGGTCGGCGCACTTCTTCGCTTCCAGTTCAGCGCTCGATGAACAGTGTATTACTTTCAAATGAAAGATGCCAAAGATTCAAACGATGGTAATTCAGAGCCACGATTATCCATTTCAAACGAACGTACAGTGTCCGGGTCTAGCTTTTTTAATGCAATATGTAGAAACACAAAGTCCATAAAGATTTCTGAGCGCAGCTACTGATGTTACGAATTCATCCAAAAAAATCGCGGATGACATAATCTTAAGATCGAATATTTTTTCCAGATATGAAGAGGCTAACATTCGCTTATCTTCATATTTATTTTTAAGCGTTTCGAAAATTAACGAATAATTATTTGCTGTTGGTGTGAAACTCGAACATACGGACTATGCTTTGCCACTTAGCTTACCAATTAAATAATACAATTTTGCAGCGTTCGATAAGGAGGGATTGTTATGTATAGTGTTTTGAAAGCTATTAATAAATAACGGCCAAGTTTTAATATCACCATTAAATATCGAGATATCTATACGGAGCAATCTAAGTGATTCACAGGGACGTACCTGAATTTCCTGTTTTACTTCGCTCTGGACTGAAGACTGTAGAAGTTTAGCTGTTCTTTTTACGCGACACAACAGGTCTTGAAATGCTATAAGCAATTGATAATTTACTGAATATTTAAGGGCGATCTGCAGTTTTAGATTATTAATTTTGTCTAAATACGCTTTCGTAGTCTAACCTCAATGAGTCTACCGTTTCGATTTCGCACAAAAAGATCTCCCACACTGATTCTACGTTAATATTTTTTATATGATCACTGATGCCTTGTATACGAGAAAATAGTACATCCCTCTTGGTGTAAAGACTTTTAAGTTTCACTTCATTAGCACTTACCGCCATCTTGTATTGCAATAATTAATATTAAATTATCACGAACAATATCTTGCGGCGATGGAGGACGAAAGATTGACAATACGTTATAGGTTAACTATTAAATCGGGCGATGTTCACCAACAACGAACGATAAACGATACTAAATCAAACACTTCGACGGTTATTTTTCCTAAGCGGGGTAGTATACTACAAGATGTGATAAATTATCACGCGCGATGTAGGTATGTTCGGAACTTACCCGTAGCAACAAGTAAACGAGCCAATGTATATGTGCAATCGATATTATACGAACTTGAAGGAATTTAGAATGCGTTATTTGTAAGTATATTGCAAGAATGCACATAAATTTGTATAAATATTACGAATTGCGGAATTAGTTAAACAGAAAACTACAGCGGATCAAACTAAAATAAAATAAGCGTATATTTACCTAAGCGAATGTAGCTACAAAGAAATTTCACCTATTTTAAATTCAACAATACGGCGTACCGTACCCGGTAATGCTAGGCGAAGCTAAATTTATCCAGTGTTAACAAACTAGAGTGCATTGTCTAATAAATTGGTTCAGCAGTTCGACTCGATCAGGCCACAGGGCGTCAGTTCCAAATCCGCTCGACTGGACCAGAAAATGATGGCGCTAATGGTTCCTGGGTTCGAATCCGGAAAGGATGGTAACTAAGTGGTTAGGGTTACCCTTCGTATCCGAATCGAAAGAACCAGAAAATGGTCGAGCGATAGGGTCCCATCGATAGGGTTCGATTCCCGAGTCTTGACCTTATTATGCGAGATGTTTCTATGTGTATTCTGTATGCGTGGTTCTCTATAGCCAATGCAAGATGGCAGAAATGGCATGTGGCCGGCATTTGGACAATGCACTTGCTAGAACCTAATCTACTATATTAGCTGGTAAATTTAGGAGCGTGAGCTGTTGTAAGAAAGCTCACGTTGGGAACACAGGAGTTACTTCACACACACTTACTTGGGCTTTAGTCTTCTGGTGGCCTTTTACTCAGACCTGAGGTTGATGATGCTACGTTGTAGCTACGGTGGTGCGCGACGATAAACTTGCACTATAATTCTTGTATAATTCATAATTATTTATTTGCATAGAATGTAGGTAGATAATAAAGTATGGATTACACAATGACGGAAGCTGTCTCTATTAAAGACATGAGAGACATCATAGAACAGCTACGAATGGACCTTGCCACAACACAAAATGAACTTGAAAACATTATTCTAGACAATAACGACCTCCGTTCACAAGTGACCAATCTTATCAATGAAAATAACACATTAAAGGCTTTTCTATCCAAAACACCGCCAAAGAAAAGTAAATCATTGTAGCACTAAAAAGAAAATTAGAAGTTCCCCACGATATTCAGATGTAAATATAATAGCCACACCGCCCAGGGCATCCAGTGACAACAAGACAGAGGAATTCTCTAACAGGAACATCCTAACCCTCGAGCAGAATCTTAAAGATCTCGAGCTGCAACTGAAGTCATCCAAAAATGAAATAGCGGACCTTAATAATCAAATCATAACCCTTCAAAAGGCAGTCCAAGCTAAAGAATTCGAAGAATCCTCGCTAATTCAGCACACGATTAATTTAAACTCAGAAATTGATAAAAGTAAGAGGCCCAAATTGTGTATCCTAACAGCTCATCCTGGAGTACGCTGTTAGCTGTTGATGCTACGTTCAATAAACAGTTTGACTACATCCGCTATTTCTCGCCGAATAGTAATATTAAATATTTACTCCAGAATATTGATAAAAAATTGCATGGATACGATATGTGGGACTATTGTATTATTATGATAGGTGAAAGAGATTTTAGAACTACGTGTTATTGTATAGAGTTAGTAAAAACCATAAGGGAATCATTACACCATATTTCTCATACTAATATAATTCTATGTGCTCCTACATACGTATGTGGATCACCAATTATAAAATAGAATTATTTAATAATTTAATGTATTTGGAATTACAAAACAATCATTATGCATACTTTTATGATTCCAATCTCTTAACTTCATTTGACATGTACTCATTTAAAACTGGAAAAATCAATAAAAAAGGAATACAACATATTTACAAAAATATACTAGATAATATAAATATTGACTATAACTACTATGGTTATACTACAATAATCACACCTCGAAAGACCAATTCTCAAGTAGAAAGTACTAAGTTTTTTCTCGTATAGAACAGCCCGCAAAAAAAAAGAATAAACGTAGTAATAAAGTACAATCTAAAAAAACTACTACTAGTACTATAAAAATGTAAGAGGTCTACGCACAAAAACTGTTACTTTCCATAATAATATGTCTTTAATATCAAGTGATCTTGTCATCCTTACTGAAACTTTTCTCAACGATTCTGTATATGACTCTGAACTGTTCCCTCCCGAGTATATTGTGCTAAGGAAGGATCGTGCAGGTAACGTCGGATGGGGTGATGTTCTCTTAGCAGTCAAGAATAGTTTTACCGTTAAAAGAATTACAAACATAGATGGTTTAACTGATAATAAAGAATTGTTATTTACTCTTTTAGCGTTGAAAAATATTAAACTCTTAGTGTGTGTTGCATATTTACCACCAAACTACAATGACAAGCAATATCTTGATGCATTAAATTGTATAGAAAATGCCATTAACACATATTCTGACTGTAAATTCTTCATTGTTGGTGATTTCAACCTAAGGTCTTAGGTAATAAATCTGTTCAAACTCAGTTCCATAATTTCTTAAAATGTTGCAACTTACAGCAATGTAATAATGTTTGTAATAAATATGGATGCATCTTGGATCTGGTATTGACTAATCTAGACTCCGGAAGTTGTCTGTGTCATTTGAAGTTGAATCATTGGTACCTATTGATGCTTATCACCCTCCGTTAGAGATCGTGCTTACACTATCAACAAGTGCTGCAATAAACATACCATTTCCACCATGTCAGAACCTTTGCACAGAATGGAATTTTCGTAAAGCAGATCTCTGTGGCTTGTACACTGATATAAATGACTTGATCTGGACGGATCTAATGCACAAACAGGACGTAAATGTAGCTTTAGAGATCTTATATAATAAGCTTAATAAAGTCATTAGTAGACGAGTTCCCTATAAATCCTTAACTACCAATCATAAATATATATATCCAAAATGGTATACTAAAGAAATCATAAAATACATAAAATTGAAATATTTTAATTTAAAAATGTTTAAAAGTCGTGGCTTGAATTTAACAAGGCGTTATTTAAATATTAAAGAACCAAAGTAAAAAAACTTATTAATACAGCATCTATAAATTATATGATAAAAGTTGAAAATGATATAGCACGCGAACCTTCAAATTTTTGGAAATACGTGAAATAAAAACGAAAGAATAGACAACAGAATAAGGAATTTGCGTATAATAACAGAACTTTAGAAGGGCAGCAAGCTATTGATGCATTTCCGCAGTATTTCAGCTCAGTTTTTCAACCTGATACTCCATTGTTAAATGTAGAGGCAGCGGAACGCGATGCAATGTACGCAGACTGTGTAACTAAAGTAGTAGTAGTAGTAGCAGTATTAATATTATTAAAGCTTCAGATCTACGATGGGCAATACGCCGTCATAAGGCATCGGCAGCTTGCGGCCCTGATAACGTACCTTCGTTTTTAATAAAGGACTGTATGGCAGTTTTAGAGGAACCATTACTGTATGTCTACAATCTCTCACTTCAACAATGTCTCTATCCCAATGCATGGAAAGTGTCCAGGGTAACTCCTGTACCTAAAAGTGGTTCGTCCACTGATGTAACTAACTTCAGGCCTATCGCAGTGTTATCAGTATTTGCCAAGGTGTTTGAATCCATTATAAACAATTCCATTTATAAACTAACTAGCGGCCCGGTACGTGCTTCGCTACGTATAAAATGAAATAATACAAAAATCAGTTAGAACATCGATTCATTTCTTAAAAAAATATATTACTTAATTGCTAGCTATTTAAAAACTTAATCCAAAACATTTGGATAAACAATATTTTTTTGTTTTTCCATTTTGAGGGTGAATAAACAAACGGCTGGGGGTACCGACTCTGGATCCCAGCCGCTGCAAGGCAATCTAACTTTGCCATCAGCACAACACATGCCGGGCGTTTCACCTGAAAATTTTGCCGCATCACAATGTGGACATATTACGTCCATCATTCCAATGTATCCGTACATACTATAATCAATCTGAGTGTTGTAATTAAAAGCAGCACACATCGTTTCACTTAAAGTAGCATGACGTATTCGTGATCACCGTGGAAGATTGAGTACAGGCACAGGGCCAGCAGACCTATTTCGTGCATTACGTTCACGCTGCGATGCATTAGCTTGTGTGCGTTCATCTGCAGTCGGTGATCGTCTTTGTGATGTCACATAATTTGTATTACGCGTTCACCGACCTCTATTTGCTCGTCTGGCTCGTGGCATTTATCCTTCATATAAAAAAAGAATAAACGAAATTAAAAACAAATTGCTGTCTGTCTGTCTGGAAATATGCGGGATGAAATATTGGTGGTTGTTTTCCCCGTAAGATATCGATTCAGTTTCACGTAAAAATAAAAATTCAACTTTTCATACAAAAGGAGTAGGTATTGACTACTAAATCAATTCTTAGCGGGAAAACAACCACCAAAATTTCACCCTGTACCTATATAGGCATTTATCGTTCATATAAAAAAAGAAGAAATGAAATTAAAAACAAATTGTTACATTAATAGTGGTGTATTAGTACCTATTTAGTACCCGGATGAACGAGCTTTGCTCGTTTTTTTTTTGAAATTACATTTAGATACAAATTACATACTGATGAAACATAAATAATATTTTTTGATCTTATTGACATACTCGTAATAGAAAAAACTGAACTGGTTATTTGAATAATAAATCATGAGTGCAATTAGTTTAGTTAAAATTTTGGTATTTATAAAAAATACTAAAAAAAAAAGACTCGAAATAGTAGATTTTCTCACAAAAGAAGGGAACTTGAAAAAAAGAAACGACGAAATCAGACTGAAGACGGAATCCGAACCAAGGCATTACGATTTCGCGACCGCTCGATATCCACTTGAGCTATTAAGATCATTAACATAGTGTCAAAATTTACCTTCTTATATTGTAGCAGTTCTTCATTGCCTGAAAAAACGGACAAAAAGACATTTTCCAAAAATAAATCCTAGCTAGATCGATTTATTGCCCCCCGAAACTCCCTGGACACTAAATTTTATGAAAATCCGTTTCCGAGATTCCGTATATATATATATATATATATATATATATATATATATATATATAAAGAATTGCTCGTTTAAAGGTATAGGATATACGTGTGTCTGGAAATATACGGAATGAAATATTGGTGGTTGTTTTCCCGTAAGATATCGATTCAGTTAATAAAAATTCAACTTTTTAAGATAATTGATAGAATTAGGAGTTACTTTGCGGAAATCCATTATAATAAAAAATAAAAATATAAATTTCTTTGCAACTTTCCGCTAAACATATAAAATGATGTGTCTTACCTGGATTGAAGCGCACCTCCCGCCCTCCCTCGATTGCATACACTAACTCCGTCACCACTCTAGACCAAGCACCACTACTCTCAACACCACTATTCCAGGCAAGACACACCATCGACGATAATACGACACGTGTTTCGCCTCTACACGAGGCATCCTCAAGTAATATAGACTCTACGGTGGCTGACCGCTAAGTGAGCGGCGAGTCGAAACAGTTGCTATTTATACACGCTGACACAATCGCTCCCTACCAAAGTAGCGAGTGACCGCGTCGTGCGATAACAAACCTGCCAACAGTTATTATTATTGTTATGATTATTTTTAAATACTATTATTATTATTGTTTTGAGTGACCGCGCCGTGCGATAACAAATCTGCTACTAATTATTATTATTGTTATGATTAATATTTTAAATACTATTATTATTATTGTTTTATTGATATTATTATAATTATTTATTATAATTAATCTTAAAATTATTATTAAAGATTGGCCTTAAAGATGTTTAACAAAGGTGAATTAGAAACATTTGTTTGTTCATTCAGCAGTGTATAATTACCATTATTACTTTTGAAAATCTCCAACTGCTCCAGCACACACAGTCGCAGCCCCTTATTACTGGAAATGGCAACACTGGCCGCTCGACTATGTGTGTTAGAACGTATTTGGATATAATTGGGAATAACATGAAGTTATTTACACTGCTGATTAAACCAAACATTTTGAGCAGCAATACGATGTAGCTTTGTTAATTTAACATAGAATCTTGCCTGTTCGGCCGTGCTAGTCTTTTTTAAGATAATTGATAGAATCAGGCGTTATAAATGTATAAATGTATGTCTTAAACAAATAAAGATATTGGGCAAACCGTGAGAGAGTGATAGTACAAATTGATGTAATTAAGTAGCGTAATCGCACAGAGGACGCGGCTCTCTTTCGAGTATAGCTTTGTTGATACCCCATTAGACTGGTTTTCATACAATTCGCCTCAAGGATCTCCTAAGTGTGCGTTGTTTGTAGTTAGCAGTGGCTGCATACAACCGCCGGTACGACATACTCCGCGATCGTTGAGGCCCGTGATTCCGTGAGGCGTCGAGGTCACCGGCCCCTAGGTGATTCTTGGC